GGAAGCAAAACATCCTTAGCTTCAGAATAGAAGTCCAGTTGTTTTTGTTTTTTAACCCTGTTTTAAAATCCCCAATATATCCTTCAAGCACCAATTGATTGCATGAAGTTTGTATTTAAAACTTTGTCACACGGACCAACATGGCGGCGGACATGTGAACTGCGTTTTGGCTGAGCTCCCGTCGGTCCCGCTGAAAAATTGTCTTTTATGATTATATCCTCACTACCTACATGCTGGATTTTGTCTCTGAGACTGATATCGCCACGTAACTGAATCAACAAACTTGTGATATGGCCTCTAAACAAAAAAAGTCAAAGGCTTCGGGCTCTTCTCCAGCACGGCCTATTGTCACAGTTGCAGCCTCGGCCCGCCGTGATGGAGTAACAGGTGGAACAGGTGCGTCGGCCCCACTTTTGCCGATCTCTGGAGAGCCAGACGAGTCGGCTCTGTGGTCGGACATTCTGGCCTCAATTAAATTCGAAGTCATAGCGATAATTAGGATGGAAATAAATGGACTATACTTATAAACTTTACTATATTTCTTACATCTGACATTGAATTTTTCTTCGAAGTTAACCTAACACCAGGAATGCCACTCCAGACTGTCTGGGAGGCATTAAAGGCCTATGTCAGGGGTCAAAAAATGTCTTAATGTGCAAACAAATAAAGAAGGGCTTGGTACGGCTAAGACAATTAACAGATGAGATATTACAGTTGGACAGAACATATAGCCACTCCCCTCACAGGATCTAATTTAAAAAAATGTTTGTTACATCAAACTAAATTTTATATTTTGTCAATTCAGCAGGCAGAGTATTTAATCTAAATCTGAAAGGGCTGGGAGTTGGCTCGGACATCAGCTGCGGCGACAGTCAGCCAACCTGGCTCTTACAGTAATCAACAATGAATAGGGAGCTGCATGTCACAACAATGCTGAAATTAATACTTTTTTAGTAAATTCTACCAGTCATTGTGTCCAACTGAGTCATAAGCTAATGTATAGACATTAGAGACATAAAGAACTTTTTGGAGATCTTGAGCTTCCTTCTGGGAATCCTGATCTCGTTGGGGATTTGGAGAGGGAGTTCTCTGTGGCTGAGATAAACTCCATAATCAACGATATACAAAATGGGAAATCCTCTGGGCCAGATGGTTTCCTATCTGAGTTTTTAAAGAAAACTTCAAGTCTACTCTCACCCTTATTAAGGTCTGTGTTTGAGGAGTCACTTGCAGCACAGACATTGCAATGTCCATGTGTCAAGCTGTAAACGCACTGTTACCTAAGAAAGATAAAGACCCTCTAAACTGCCACACATATAGACCTATCTCGCTTTTAAATACCGATATACTGTATACTATATACAGTATATACGGATTTTAAATACTGATATACATTTTATCATTAACCCTTATTTAACCAGGCAAATCCCATTGAGATCGCAGATCTCTTTTGCAAGGGAGACCTGGGCCTGAAGGCAGCCTAACATGCATGTGTTTGGTCTGTGGGAGGAAACCAGAGTACCCGGAGAAAACCCATGCAAGCACGAGAAGAACATGCAAACTCCACAAAGAAAGACCCCAGGTCCAACCAAGGATGGAACCCAGGACTTTCTGGCTGCGAGGCAACAGTGCTAACGACTGAGCCATCATGCTGCCAAAAAAAATTCCCTGGCCCTTTGATGGACTCACACAGTGATAGCTGGATGTGGGCACCGGCGACCCCCGCGACCCAAAGTGGAAGAAGTAGGTAAAGATAATGGATGGATGGATGGATGAATGGATGGATGGATGGATGGATATGAAAATCCTTGCAAAGGTCCTAGACTCCTGGCAAATCGACTTGGGTGGGTGGTCCCCACAATTGTCCCACCTGACCAGACGAGGTTTGTTAAAAATCAACCTTACTAAATCCTTCTTTACCAATCTAAACAGCCAGATATAAGTGTTTATTTGGAATAAAAAGCATCTACATATTTCCAAGAGCGTCTTCCATCTGCCCCGCAGACTTGGAGGCATGTCACTTCTTAACTTCATGGACTATTATTGGGCAGCTAATATCAGAGCTCTTCTATTCTAGTTGGGTAAGGACACTCCTTCTCCTAGTTGGGTGGTCTTAGAAAGAGCCTCCCAGTAGCAAAAACTAGTTTATTTAAGTGTACTACAAGTATACTTATTTTACACTAAAAATGAGAAAGTGTACTTGAAGTTTACTTTTTATAAACTACTACTTGATATACTTAAAAATAGTATAAAAATGTCGCAATTTAGTCCAAACAAGTATTAAATCAGTATACTTTCTAGTACACTACAAGTATGGTGTGTAGTATACTTGATATACTTATACTTAACTTGAAGTATACTTGCAAAAAGGAACTTCAAATTTACTACTTTTTGCCCTTTAAACAATCAGTGTCAACTTATATCTCTAACCCAATTGTGATCTGGGTGGTTAATATTTCAAGGATGGCATTTAACTCTTCAGAGTTACTGTTTTTGGCACCTGTGTCAAATAATCATATGTTTACTCCCGCAGTAGCTGATACAGCTTTTGACACCTGGGTCTTGAGGGGAGTGCATTCACTGTGTGATCTCTATGTTGTTGGCAGATTTGTCTCTTTTGAACAGCTGGTACAGAAGATAATATTCACAAGTCACAGTTTTTTGTATATCTGTAGCTGAGACATTTTGTGAGATGTAACTCTGATTGTTTTCATTTGTACCCCTTTAAACATTATGTGGCTAAGATTTTGTAATACAGGCCTGATACCTAGAGGGCCCTTAGCAAGTTTTATACACTGGGCATTTCATACCATGGGTCCAGTTTGGACTCCCTTAAACTGAAGTGGAAAGCGGACCTGGAGGAATCCATATCAGACTCAATCTGAAGAAGGATCATTAAGAACATTTACTCATCTTCAATCTGGGTGAGAAATACTTTAATTAAATTCAAGATAGTGCACAGGTTGCACTGGTCCAAAGACAAGTTGTCCAAAATCAAAGGCGACCTGGACCCCGCATGCAATTGTTGTAAACGAACTCCAGCTACACGCTTGCATACATTCTAGATCTATTCCAAACTGCATACCTTTTGGTCATTTATTTTTGACACCTTCTCTGGAATATGTGGCAAAACTGTACACCCATCACCACCTCGTCTCCCTGTTCGGGGTGGTCCCTGTGGATACGTCCTTCAGCAAATGCGAGAAGGATGTGATTGCCTTTGGCCCTCTTCTGGCCAGGAGAATAATTTAGTGCAATTGGAAGGACCCACACACCCCGGCATATGTACATTAGATAAGAGAGGTGATGTACCATATCCATTTGGGAAAAATTTGATGCACCCTAAAAGGTTCTGTGGAAAGATTCTAGGACACCTGGCATCTTTTTGTGTTATACGTTGAAAATATGTCGATACTTGTAAAAAGACATTTATGTATGGGTGTGACTGGTCTGGTGTGGGCGGGGAGGGACAGGAGGGATTTTTTTTTCTTTTGTTCTCTGTTCTGTTGTGTTTGTGTAAAAAAAAAAGTTAATAAAAAAGACCTTAATTTAAAAAAAAACTGTCACAATTTTTTGGAGTCAATGCTATCTATCAGCAAAATTTGCCATGAACCACTGTATGGATTTTAGAATCAAATTTTCTAAAAATGATCACTGGAGGTTTATTTATAACTCATTAACATTTTAACTTAATCCAGTTTAATAATCCACCACAAACATCTGACCCATAAAACATTAATGTGGCTGTAATTTTTTAATAAAGTAGATGCCATTTCCTGCATTCTGGTGTTTTTGAACAAGTTGTTCAACATCTACGTTTACCTACATAAGTAAACACTTGATTCAATAACTATTTTAGAGAGCAACAAGAAGTAGCCTGACCAACAGCTCTCCTTGTGTGAATAGAGCACACTCCACTTCTCTCATCGCATCCTAGCCCCCCACCCCCGTCAACAACAACCAGCACTAACGTGGCGATAATCTAGCACATAAAACAGAGAAGTCTCCCCCTCCTGCCCCCCAGTGAGCACCCTGCCAAGGCAGATGACCTTGGGGAAACTGCATGTGGTGTGGTGACTTGTTGTAGGTAACCAGGAAAACCTGGAGTGGAATTTTAGTGGTTTGTGTATTCTCCTATTAATCAAGTGGAATGGATTAGTTCACAAAGAAATAGAAACAGCCCTGGGTGAACTAATATTTCATGGTAAGTGTGTGTGGGTGGTAGTGGTGAGGGTTTTCAAATGAATATGTTTTAAATGTGTGTGTGTGTGGGGGGGGGGGGGACACACACATCCCCTTCACATATAATTGTTGCGACGCCTATGCATGAACCACTCAGAAGACTTCAGTGAAACTCTCAGAAAGGAACCACTGACTGAACAGCTACAACTGATTACCTTTTGGAGTCATCCCAATACAAGATGACTGCCACAGCCAACTTAACTAACACAAATATTGCTACAACTCATTCAGTTTTACAGATACTGAGCTAAAAGCCATGGCAGTCACAGCTGTGAGTCATCCTTAACACTTGCTACGTTGTATCTGATGAAGTTGTGCATAATGACATTTGCTAAATTTGACCAGTAGGACTCCCTCCCTTCTCATCAAAACTAAGTTTGAAATATGGCATTAAAGGCAGCAGGTGATAAGCATTCCTTCAATAAATAGTTGGCCATTATTTGTTTAATATGTTCATCATTCATGCCTTGTTTTGTTCTTGGTACTTTGAATTTCATGATGTCACTTTTTTTTTCTGAAAAGCTTCTTGATTTTCACTTTGTAACATTTCCAATGTCCTGTCCCGTTTATTTTGTCCACATCCTCCCTCTTCCAAAAGTTGCACTTTATGAATATTGGTGAGAACAACAGTCAAGGACAAGGCAGACAGGCTTACATCCAGCCTTTATGTGAACCAGAGACTTCCATCATAATTGCTGTTAATAATTACAGCTCTGATAAGCAGCAGAGGTGGCATTTATTGATGTCCAAACTGTCCCCGGTACCAGATGATTGCCCGGTGCTGAAGTGAGAGGAAGACAGTGTGGAAACTGTGGGACAGATTGGGAACATATCAGGTATGTGCCATAAGATCATCTGTATTTATGATTATTATTTTTTAAAGTTTAAAACCTTCCTTCAAGGAATGTGAATTGCCTACTGCTAGGGTTTTAGACTAAGCTTATCTTAATGTGGCTGAGTGGTTAGAGCAGTCGTCCTCCAATGGGCAAGTTGAGGGTTTGAAACAATTTAAATTTAAACAATTTAAAACAATTTCGTACTTAAACCTCATGCAGTATTTAGAAATGTCATGCTCAAGTGTGTGTTGTGATTGACACTCGGCCTCTTCAAATTTTAGCTCAGTATTTGTAAAACTGGCCCATAAAAAAATTTCTAACATTGTTTGACTGTGACAACTAAAACTCTGTATCATAAAAGAAAAAGATAATCGATGGCAGCAGCACATAACAAAAAAAAAACACTGCAGAAGAGGATTAAAGCCACGGTGCCAAAAAAGCCTATTTAAAAAAAAAAATTCTGATTTAATCTCAGAATTACGAGATTCTATGGCAAAATTCTTTTTTGCACCCTGTCCCCAATCCTCGTCCATAAACAACAGTTTGGACAGGAGCTTTAAATAAAGGCTGTAAAAGTGAGTGGGCCAAAAAAGAACCAGCTGGAGGTACATTTTGCAGCTAATGAGGTTAATGGCAACAAGTCAATAAGAGGACTGAGTGTAAAAAGAGCATTTTAGAGAGGCTGAATCACCAGTCTGTATGCTCTTTCACAGAACAACTCCAGGCCTTAGGTGCCTTCTGGTGTGATTTCTGAATGGGCCAAGGCTGCACAGGCGGTGGAAGCCAGTCCACCCGATGCACCTTTGTGCTGCGAGGCATGGCAGGAACAGAGCTGAAACAGTTGATGTGAAAACGTAAAGCTGGTGATGAACTAAAAATGTGTCTGCAGGAATAAGCGTTAAAAAAGCAGACATTGGTAAAGAGGAAAAATGAAGGATGATGCACAGCAACCACAAACCTGATCTATTTAGTCTTGTTTTGAAAACGATATAAAGCAGGTGTCCATCACAAGTTTAATGCGTTTTGCTCCATGTCAGCACAGCTGAATTCTGCTCCACGCTTCTTTCAGTTTTGTGATGCTGGCTTTAGCTCTATCTGTGATTTAAGGACTGTCAGAGGCAGAACAAAGTCAGCAGTGAAAATAGTCAAAACGTTTCCAAATAACGTTCCTTTGTGGAAAATTGGAAGAACTTTGAATTTCTCATCAAGTGTAGTTTATTGTACGAGAGGATTTCATGGATCTGGAGAAATGGATGAGCTCAAAGGACAAATTCAGGTCCTAAATGGCCACTGCATTAAAAACAGAGGTCATCCTGTTCTGGACATCACTGCACGGGTCAGGAACCCTTCAACAAGACATTGTCCATAAACAGTTCACTGGGCCATTCACAACACTGGTTTAAGCTTTATCATGCAAAAAGTCGCATGTGACCTCCATACAGAATCACTTGCGTCCTTTTTGGGCTAAAACTGAAAAAAAGGGACTGAGGCAAAGTGAATAACTAAAAGTTAAAATTTGAATTTATTTTTGGAAACCACTGTGCCATGTCAGTTTTTATTACAGTAAAGCCAATGTTATCAGCATAAAGTTCAAAATCCTGCTTCTCTGATGGTATGGAGGGGCATTAGTACCTCTGGCATGAGCAGCTTACCCATATGGAAAGTCCTTTTGTGGGTATAAAGTGGACAGGAAGTCTTTGGTGTCTTTTTCAGGGAAGACCTTGTAAATATTTTAGTAAGTCAATGCTAAACCACACACTTCATCCATTACAGCAGCAGGCTGTGTAGAAGAGTCCCGGTGCTGAATCGGCCTGCCTGCAGCTCGCTGATTAAAACATTTGTTGCATCAGAAAACAAGAAATCCTGAAAAGAAAAGCCAGCACTTCAAAGTTCATGCTCAATAATCCAGGTAAAAAAATCCAATAATGGTCAGTCGGGTCATCTAGAGAGTTTTTTTTTTTTTTTTTTGAGAGACATTTGGCCCTATATCCTAAGGGCTTCATCAGTCTGAGGAGTCACACGTAAACTGTTTTCCCCATTAAGCAGCACACTCCTTCAGTGGACCAACCAGTTTGCTGGTTATAAGATGGTTTTTGGGGGCTGTCCTCTCCCCCGTCGACTCCTCCCAGGCAGGCAGCCACAGCCAAAGTGGTTCAAGGCATAAAAGTTCATGCTCAATCATCCACGTACAAAATCCAATAATGGTCAGTCAGGTCATGCCTGCCTGGGAGGAGTCGATGGGAGAGAGGACAGCCCCCAGAAACCATCTTATAACCAGCAAACTGGTTGGTCCACTAAAGGAGTGTACTGCTTAGTGGGGAAAACAGTTTACTTGTGACTCCTCAGACTGATGCAGCCCTCCGGATGGAGAGCAAAACTACGACAGAGCTTTAGGGCCACGCTGAGAAAAATAAAATAAAAAGCCATAAAATTAAGAGAATAAAGTCGTATTACAAGAATAAAGTCGTACCAGACTTTTTTTTTGTCAGCTCTCTTTTATTTAATTTTTTCCACGAGTCAAATCCGCGACACGATCTGTCAGTCAATCCAGTAGGCGTGTCAGCAAATGACCAATCCGAAGCTAAATGATCCTTACCTGCAGAGCTGCGCTGCAGCCCATCAGAGCGTACCACCTTACTGTAAGCAGGTTCAAAGTCCTGATACTGGTAATAATCGGATGCTGATGTACTAACAGATTAACTGTTTCCTTATTTGGAAAACCAGTATCAAAGTATAACTTAACAAGATGCTCAATATTTTTCATTTTACCACAGTTAAATGTGGTAAACCTACTTTATGTGTCGGAGTTTGGATAATATTACGACTCATTTAGCTTCTGACTGGTCATTTGCTGACACGCCTACTGGATTGATTGACAGGTCGAGTCATGGATCCGACTTGTGGGGGGAAAAAAACAAGAGCTGTAAAAAGAAAAGGCTTCATTTAGACTTTATTTTCATAATATTAAGACTTTATTTGATTTTATTCTCATAATACTACGACTTTATTCTTGTAATTTTATGGTTTTTAACTTTATTTATTTTTAGCGTGGCAATGTAATTCTTTTTTTCTTAGTGTAGCCCTAAAGCTCCATTGTATAAACATCTCTCAACAACAACAACAACAAAAAAGCACCTGTCCAGATGACCTGACTGATCATTATTGGAAAAGCCAGAACTGATAAAATGCTAGAACCCCACATCAGACAAGAATGGGGGAACATTCTCCTCCAAAAACTCCAACTACTGGTCTCCTCAGGTGTTGTTAAAGGAGGAGGAGGCATCACAGTGGAAAACATGCTCCTGTCCCAATTACTTAAAACTTTTACTACTGCTGCCATAATATTCAAAATGTACTCCCCCCGCCTCCACAAAAATAGTTTGAAGCATTTAATATTTATTTTATTTTATTGTCAATAATATGAATTTATGAGATTTTAAATGCATTTATTTCATTTTGTATATTTTATAGCATCCCAACCTTTTCAGAATTACGGTTATATTTTACAGGGTCCAGGTTCAGTATAAATATTTTTGTGCAAGTACAGTGTTTTAGATCTTCATAATAAAATTTGATCTTGTGAAGTCCAACAGATTACAGTTTATGACAAGCCTCTCAGATTCAGTTTCAGCTGTAGAGAGAGTGCAGGTCCTTACCTGGTTTTTGCATCTTGTCTGTATTTGGGGCTCTGGAGCTTTGTCGTTTGTCCTTAATAATATTTAAGTAACGTTCAAAGGCAGGACAGGGTCCTCTTCGCATCTAATGTGATTTATGTGTCAGAGCCACATAGAGCAGCAGCAGGGGTCCTCCAGGCAGCAGAAGCAACATGATGCGACCAGGAGCCAAGCAGTATGTGGTGGCCCGGCCGCTGTACTCAGAGGAGGCGTTCGCCGAGGAGCACGAAAAGGTTTACAGGCACCACAAAACCATGTTGGACCATGTTAAACAGTCCCTCAGGTAAGTGCTCTAGCTTAATTTTTCAACAAATATCAAGATGAATGAAATTTGCAGAAAGTTTTTGGTAAATTTATTGTTCCAAGTTCCAACTAGTATCATACTACTTGTATGAAACTAAAACTGTGAGTGTTTTTGTGTGTGGGTGTGTGTTTGTATATATGTCTGTTAGCAAACTATCCCCTTAACCTCAGGAACATTTTTTATGAAGCTTTACAGAAGTAAGCACTGCATGTGCATCTACAACTGATTAACTTTTAGAGTGAGCTGAGTTCAAGATGGCTGCCACAACTAGCAACACATGCAAACCCAAAAATGGGTGTGAGGGGAGTGGTGGGGCAGAGGTTAGAGAGGGTGTGCCTGGGGTCGGAGGGTTGCTGGTCAACCCCCGGCTCAACTCCATGGACCGACAACATCACAATATGGGTCGAGAAGGTGAAACACCTACACCTGCCTCCACCCTCATTTGCCCCACTCTGGGCCCATGAGCGAGGCCCTTAACCCCCCAGCTGCTCCCCAGGCATCTTAGATGGCAGCCCACTGCTTCACATGTGTGCTCATATGTGCAGTGGGAAAAATGCAGAGAATTAATTTTCCCGTTGGGGATTAATAGAGTACAATAAATAAATAAACAAGAGCGTGTTCCAACTACAGGGGGATCATGCTCTTAAGCCTCCCTGGTAAGGTCTATTCAGGGCGGAGAGGAGGGTCCGCCAGATAGTCGAACCACGGATTCAGGAGGAGCAGTGCGGTTTTCTTCCTGGTCGTGGAACACTGGACCAACTCTACACTCTCAGCAGTGTCCTGGTGTGTGCGTGGGAGTTTTCGCAACCAGTCTACATGTGCTTTGTGGACTTGGAGAAGGCGTTGGACCATGTCCTTTGGGGAATCCTGTTGGGGGTACTCTGGGAGTATGGGGTAACAGGCCCTTTGATATGGGCTGTTAGGTTCTTGTACGACTGGTGTCCAAGCTTGGTCCGCATTGCTGGCAGTAAGTCGGGCTCATTCCCAGTGAGAGTTGGACTCAGCCAAGATTGCCCTTTGTCACCAATCATGTTCATAACTTTTATGGACAGAATTTCTAGGCGTAGCCAAGGTGTTTTGGTGACCTTAGGATTGCCTCTCTGCTTTTTGCAGATGATGTCCTATTGGCTTCATCAGGCCGTGATCTACAGCTTTCACTGGAGCAGTTCGCAGCCGAGTGTGAAGCAGCCGGGATGAGGATCAGTTCCTCCAAATCCGAGGCCATGGGCTTGAGCCGGAAAAGGGTAGGGTGCCTTCTCCAAGTCGGGGAGGGGGTCCTGCCCCAAGTGGAGGAGTTCAAGTATCTCAGGGTCTTGTTCATGAATGAGGGAAAAATGGAGCGTGAGATCGATAGGCGGATAGGTGCAGCGTCTGCAGTGAAGCGGGCGCTGTACAGGTCTGTCGTGGTGAAGAGAGAGCTGAGTCAAAAGGTGAAGCTCTTAATTTACCGGTCTATCTACGTTCCTACTCTCATCTATGGTCATGAGCTTTGGGTTGTAAGCAAAAGAACGAGACCACGGATACATGCGGCAGAAATGAATTTTCTTCGCAGGGTGTCTGGGCTCTCCCTTAGAGATAGGGTGAGAAGCTCGATCATCTGGGAGGGACTCAGAGTAGAGCCGCTGCTTCTCCACGTTGAGAGGAGCGGCGGTCATGTCATGTCCAATTTTACTTTGAAAAACTGCGATAGAGCAAGTCCGCAAAAGTCTAACCGCAAAGTAGCGAGGGACTACTGTATCAGGAAAGTAGAGTCAGCAATGAAATTGTTTCAGTGTACAATAGCATCTTTAATAAAGCCAAGTGGTAATTTCTCCATCATGTTTTCCCACTTCTTCCTTTCTGGATTACTGGTGCCCATATCCAGCAGTCACTGTGCGAGAGGCGGAGGACACCCTGAACAGGTCTCCAGTCCATCACAGGGACACATAGAGACAAATAAGACTAACAACCATTCACTCTCTCACCTAGAGACAATTTAGAGTTACCAATTAGCCTAACATGCATGTTTTTGGTCTGTGGGAGGAAACTGGAGTACCCACGAGAAAACCCACGCATGCATGGAGAGAACATGCAAACTCCACCCAGAAAGGTCTCTGGCTGATATTAGATCTGGCGACCTGCTTGCTGAGAGCCAACAACTCTACTAATGGCACCATGTCAAGTGTTAATAAAAAATATATATATTTTAAGGTGAATTTTGACATGATCTGTGGTTTAGAGTTGAACCCACGTGCAGGCAGACACAGGAGGCTCCAAGGTAAAATTAAACAGTCTATTTATACAACAAAACAAAACAAAAGCTGACAGGGCAACACAAACTTACTTGGATGGATGGAGGAAACTATAGAGGAACAAAACATGACAGGCTGGGAAGCACAATGCACAGACAAAGGAGAAACACAGAGACGCTGACGTTAAAGGGACAATATTGACGCTGATGACTAATGATGCAATAATGGATGCTGTCTATCATGGTGCACTAAGATTCATAACTGGCTGTAACTACCAGACCTATCACTGCACCCAGTATTCACTGGTTAACTGGTCATCATTAACGTCACACAGACTCTCTTACTGATACATTTTCATCTTTAAATCCATTCTTGGTCTGCTGCCTTCATACATCTACTCCTATATGTCTCTGTGTGAGTGCAGCTACAGCGTGCGCTCTCAGGACATTATTACCTGCAGTGTTCCCTCAGTGAGGACTGAACTAGACAAAAGGGCCTTCTCCTACTCCCTCCTGTTTCCTGGAATATCTTACAAAAAGATTTGAAGCTCTCGACCTTGACCTCTCTAAGTGGCTTCAAACATCTGCTACGTTCATGTCAAAAACCAATGCAGACATGTTCCTGTTTTTAGTATTTTAATTTCAGTTCAATTTCAATTCATTTTATTTATATAGCCCCATATCACAACTAAGTTGTCTCTGGACACTTTACAGGAACATTCACATACATAGAAAAGCCAATTAGTAAAGTTACCTATCTAAGGAAGCAGAAAACTCGTTGAATCTTCACTTGATCACAGTCTCACATCTTGAGCAAGCACAAAGTGTTTTCATCCATCCATCCATTATCTTTACCCGTTTATTCCATTTTGGGTCACGGGGGTCGCTGGTGCCCATGTCCAGCAACCACTGTGCGAGGGGCGGGGTACACCCTGGACGGGTCGCAAGTCCATCACAGGGCCACATAGAGACAAACGAGACAAACAACCATTCACTCTCTCACTCACACCTAGGGACAATTTAGAGTTACCAATCAGCCTAACATGCATGTTTTTGGTCTGTGGGAGGAAACCGGAGCACCCGGAGAAAACCCACGCATGCACGGAGAGAACATACAAACTCCACCCAGAAAAGCCCCTGGACCGGGGTTTGAACCAAGGACCTGCTCGCTGAGAGGCAGCAGCTCTACCAGTTGCGCCACCGTGCTGCCCACAAAGTGTTTTTGTTTCATTTTTTATTTTATTTCGGCTGTGGCTGAGTGGTTAGAGCAGTCGTCCTCCAATGCGAGAGTTGGGGGTTCGAACCCACCAGCAGTCACAAGTCAAAGTGTCCCTGGGCAAGACACTGAACCCCTCATAGCCTCTGATGTGTGTCCCATCAGTGTATGAATGTGATAAAGCTCTGATTAGTCTCTTTAGAATGATTTGTGCAATTAGCTTTGTAGAGATCTAGTAGAGTGCTGTATGAATGGGTAAATGAGGACACAGATTGTAGTGTAAAGCGCTTTGAGTGTCTTGAAATAAGATAGAAATGCGCTATATAAGTACAGTCCATTCTTCTATTTACTTTTCATTTTATGATATTTATATGATTATTGTTGTCTGCACCTCATCTGTTCTTTGTTAAATCAGGTCTCTCTTGTAAATGAGTCCTCGCGGCTCAATGAGTCTAACCTGTACAAATAAAGGTTGAATGAATGAATGAATGAATGAGACTGGAATGACAAACATCTGGGGTGATTAGAATTGAGGATGGGTGAGACAGTAGCTGACAACAATGAGGGAAACTCAAGGGTCTAAACAGAACAAAGAACAGATTCCCACAAATTTATTTTACAGTATAAGACGATAATGGAACGGAGTAAAACTAAAATAAAACAAGAAGCGTTTGGTGTCTCAATGACAGAGTTTAATTTTTTTAATCTGTTTTGTCCAGAGTTCATCAAATTTTACACATTTGTGTATCCTTTAAGATGTGACGCCAGACGAGCCAAGAATGCTGCTCTGTCTCTTCTGCCAGTGATTGGCTGGATGAAGATCTACAGAATCAGAGAGTGGCTCCTCAGTGACATCGTGTCGGGTGTCAGCACAGGACTGGTGGCTGTCCTACAAGGTAAAAGACAAAAGTCTCACCTCAACATTCAAGATCGTCCTCAAGATCATTCCAGTCCGGAATGCATGCATGTGTTCAAGTTTAGTGATGAAATACGGGACTGGGAATGGTAACAATGAAAACCATTTGTGATTTGATAAATTTGAGGTTTTCTGGGCACGTCCCACTGTTAGGAGGGGGGGGTGACCAGAAAACGTTGGAGGGATCGTGTCTCTTCTCTGGCCTGGAGATGTCTTTGAGTCCCCCAGGACGAGCTAGAAAGTGTCACTGGGTGGAGTGATGTCTGGGTTTCTCTACTGGACCTGTTGCTCCCCTGACCTGACTACAGATAAGCGATAGTAGATGAAGATTTGTGAAATGTACAATTTTGCTTTTAGTTTACCTGAGAGGTTCCTACATTATTTGAGACAAATTAACTTTAACATAAACTTTTTTTAAGGATTGTACAAACTGAACACATACTCACATAAGGTGCATAAGGTCAAAGAGAAACAACAAACATTCTCGTAAATAAATTAATAAATGTTTAACTGCACTACTTGGTTGCGTACATCACACCTTTTTTTCCCACCGCTCCCTTTGTTGCTGCTAATCTAAGGAATGTTGATTACAACTGTTTGCTTCATGTCTTTTACGTCATCTTGAACTCTGCCGTATTACCTGGGGGGTAGTAAGTTTTACTCATTCCGGCAAAAAATCTAGCACAAATGCACAAAGGCAAAAATCTTCAAATTGTAATAAAACATAATTTAAACTTTATGTTTGTACTCAGGTACATCTTTTATGGCTCTGTTCTTTATTAATGCTTCTGGGATCTACGTCATCATGAAAGTTTGGACTCTGACTGTAATTAACAGCACCAGTTTTAATTCAAGTTTAATTCACCAAGGAGTTCCTTGATTATCCCATAAATTACCTCATTTTCAAAGAAAACCTGGACAAAATGGCACGATCTTAAAATGGTCAAAACTACAAAATAAAATTAGCATATAAATATATATAAAAATTGGAGATTGCATTCAATTTTTTATACACGTTTCTTTTTTCTGCAAAAATCCATCGTGAATGCTGAGCGAGAATGAAAATAAAATAAAACAGTGCCCGCATGTGAGCCTTGGGGAACTCCTTTTAAAATCGTAATTGAAACCAATGCTTGTATCACTAACCCTGGCACATTTTTTACTTTTGCACGTGTTTTTATCATTCTTATTTTGTTCCTGTATGATCTGTATATTGTTTGTTTTTGTGTTGAAGGTTTGGCCTACTGTTTGCTGGCTTCTCTGCCACCTTGGTACGGCCTTTTCACGGCCTTTTTTCCAGTTGTCATCTACTTTTTCCTGGGCACTTCAAGACACATCTCAGTGGGTAAGACGATATGGCGATAAGTACATTTTTTAAATCACTTTTTTTATTTATAATTTTCACCAAAGAATCCAGGCTTTCTAGCAGTTGTTAAATTGGTACTGAACAATAAGTTGCTGATTTTTTTAAAGTTTATTTATTTATTTGTTCTTTTGACTTTAAGCATTAATTACAGAATTTATAGAGATGAAGGCTCAACCTTTAAAAGACAAATGAGCAAATAACCTTTTTGAAATATGATCTTTAGTATCCTTGTTAAGAGCACTTAGTCACAAAAAATCAGTTTGTTCACATTTATTTAGTTGGATTTATAAAATAAGTGTTTTTTCACGACAATCTGATTCCTGTGTTGCTGACAATGACTGTTTCATGTGGTCTCCAGGGACATGAAACTGCTTGCATATATTTACAGTACTTCTAGCTTTTGCATTACCAGCACATTTTTGGGGCGGTGATCGACGTATCTTGTGGCGAGGCCTTGCCAAGTAGAACTGGAGTTAATTCCTGTTGCAGGAATTGACCTGAGGATAAATGTGTTCACCACCGCTCTTGGGAAAGTGCCTGTCACTAAACACAGATCTGCAACGCTGGTCCATCACAGACTGTAGGGAGATATTTTATTTCATTCCACCATTCTCACTCTCTACAAGAAGGCTGAAGCCTCGATGGGATGGTTGGTTTAGTTGCAGACTGATCGATCCAGTGTAACGTGTACCGGCCGGGTTACATGGTTACCATTTGCAGGCAGACCAGTGCCGGCCAGTGCCTGACCTGAAATGATTTTTAAAGAAGTATTAACAAAAAATAAATGTTTACAGTAGATTGGTTATATAGAAAGGTGATGCATTTCTCAGATTTTGTCAGGTTTTTGATGGATTTATTTCAATTTTTTTTTCCCCAACATAAATTTCACATATTTTTTAATTGCAGTTGCTTCTTCAACCGTCTTTTGTTTTCTACCTGTCCAGATTTTCTGTTGGATAAAAACACCCTCTATTCATTTTACTTACTCAAAGAAGTACGACGGAGCTTTAGGGCCATGCTAAGAAAAAAAAATTAAAAGCCATACTGTTACGAGACTAAAGTTGAATAAAGTCTTAATATTACGAGAATAAAGTCGTACAAGATTTTTAATTATTTTTGCAGCTCTCTTTTTTTTTTTTTCCCACGAGTCGGATCCACAACGCGACCTGTCAATCAGTCCAGTAGGCGTGTCAGCAAATGATCCATCTGAAGCTAAATGTGTTGTAATATTATCCCAACTCCGACGCAATAAAGCAGGTTGACTGCATTTTAACTGTGGTAAAATGAAGAATGTTGAACATCTTGTTAAGTTATACTTTGGTATTTGTTTTACAAATAAGGAAACATTTAATCTGTTAGTACATCAGCATCACATTATTATCAGTATCAGGACTTTGAACCTGTTTACAGTAAAGTGGTACACTCTGATGGGCTGCAGCACAGCTCTGCAGGTAAAGAGCATTTAGCTTCGGATTGGTCATTTGCTGATACGCCTACTGGATTGATTGACAGGTCGTGTTGTGGATCTGACTTGTGGAAAAAATAATAAATGAGATCTGAAAAAAAATCTCATACGAGGGCGGCTGTGGCTGAGTGGTTAGAGCAGTCGTCCTCCAATGCAAGAGTTGGGGGTTTGAATCCACCAGCAGTCACATGTCGAAGTGTCTCTGGGCAATATACTGAACCCCTCGTTGCCTCTGATGTGTGTCCCATCAGTGTATGAATGTGATCTAAAGCTCTGATTAGTCTCTTTAGAATGATTTGTTCAATTAGCTTTGTAGAGATCTAGTAGAGTGCTGTATGAATGGGTGAATGAGGACACAGATTGTTGTGTAAAGTGCTTTGAGTATCTCGATAAGATTGAAAGGCGCTGTATAAGTACAGTCCATTTACCATTTACGGCTTTATTCTTGTAATATTAGGACTTTATTCTCATAATTTTGTCTTTTTATTTATTTTTTCTTAACGTGGCTCTAAAGCTCCATCGTAAAGAAGCCACACTCGAGGTCACAATAAGTTTTTTTTAACTGGTTTAACTTGCAAGGGCAGACTTTCATCACATGTTACACATGTACAGAAGTTACACGGGCAGTGTGCAAGGCTTGTTTTTATACACTTCTCAGCTCTCGGCTCACACGCAGACACTGATGACCTCGGCTACACAGCTGCACATGCAGGATCAAATCAGCTCCTCGTTCGGCTCTCTCTGAGAAAGAAAAGAACTCTTTGCTAACTCAAACATATGGTTCATGGGCAGTTAACATTCTCAGCCATAGTAGTACAAAACATCCATAAACCTTGACTAAAATCCCCTGACACTATCCTCAAATTTTACTACACTAAATACCACATGGTCATGTCATGTGCAAGAACTGAATGAATAATAAAGCCGTCAGTGTTCAGGGAAAATCTTTGAAGGACGTTCAGAGAGCATGGTGCAGAGCTAGCTTTAGACCAGCTCTTTGGAAGTCAAACATAAAGAAATGAGAGGAGGCTCAAGACTGTTTGCAGTGTGGTGTTGTGATTCCCCAGTTCTTCACACAGTATCTGCTTTTAAAAGGCTATATCTGAATGGATCCGTCAGGATTTCACATTTGTTTCTGCAGGCCCGTTCCCAGTCTTGTGTCTGATGATTGGCTCGGTGGTCACGAGGTTTGCTCCCGACGAGGGGCCGCCTCTCAACATCACAGCGTTTGAAAATCTGTCGATCGACGCACAGAGAGTGCTGGTGGCTTCCTCTGTGACCTTCCTTGTTGGTGTCATGCAGGTCAGAAACTTTACTACAAACAACTCAATTTTTAACACTATTTTTTATCGATGGACTTTTTTAATAGGTTTATTTATTACAGTAACTCAGGGCTTATAATGACCTACCAATTTAAAGGAGCTCTACTGCCAAGTAGAGTGGCCAAATATCCAACCAGAATTCTGTCAGAACTTCATGATGGATACAAAATACTTTGGCTGAATGCATTTTTGATGTATAATTTGTGTATGTAACAAAGTGGGAGAGATAAAAGTGTATTTGTGAAAAGTTTAAAAGTTAGTCATTTCAACATTCCTTTGAAAATCAGTAAAAATCATGAAACTTAAACTGTAATTGTTTAAGAAACATAAAATATATTAAAATGTAAGACATGTAAAGGTCAACTTTCTGAGACTCTTTTTAATTTGAATTATGTTTTTACTGTGAAGTCTGAACTAAAAAGCTCCAAACAGGTTTAAGGTGATGGTTCACCAAAATCACATTTAAAAAATAAAAATTGTGGCTTCTCCTTGTCAGTGGTCTTCACAGAGAGCAAACTTGCACAACTTCACTTGTTTTTACACCAGGTGCCCTTCACAGCACAACCACCAACCACTGAGCTACCACAGCCCACATGTGTGGAGCAGAAGGCTGCCATCAGAGGCTTAAAGTGTCTTGCTCAAGGGCCCACAGTGAGGCAAATGAGGGTGGAGGCAGGTGTGGGTGCTTCACCTTTCTCATCAAAATGTTTTCATTGTAAAGGACCGTAGATTCAAGCCTGTGACCTCCTGATCACAGACTCACCTACTCTAACCGCTGCACCACCACTCACCATTTCACTAAAATCACATTAATCTTCATTATTTATTTATCATAAACTGTGGGTGAATCTTATGTCCACATTTTGTGAAGTATAGCTAAAAGCCACAGCACTGTCTCTTTCATTGGGTTGCATGTTTTGATGTATAATTTGCACGTTTTATTTGAAAGCTACACATCAAGATACAGGACGGACATGTTGAACAAAAGAGGGCTTCAATGCTTCTGATGTGCGCCCCCCCCCCCCTGCCCCCGCCCCCAATGAGGAAGAAAAGAAAGAGAATTTGACTGCACAATGAAATTACAATAAACTAGAGAAATTGCATTTCCTGCGAAAATGCAGCGTGAATGCTTATTGATGAAAAACTTGCTGAAATTGCTGAAGAACTTGAAGCACTTGCTGAAAAACAGCTGAAATTAGTTTAAAAAAATTGCTGAAATGAAAGAACAAGTTTAAATTAGCAGAATAAAGTAGAAAGAATACATAGTTGCTGAATTAGGTTGAAATAAGCAGAAATGAGCACAACAATTAGTAAATTAATTTAAAAAGCTGAAATTACCAACAACAAAAAAAAAGAAAGCTGAAAAGGCAAGTATCTTAAAAAATCAGAAGAAAGTGGAGAGAGCACAGTTGTGCCCAATTAGGCTTAAAGAAGCAGAAATTAGTACAAATGTGGAAATTATCTGAAAACAGCAGAAATGTGCAAAAAAAAACCCAAACAGCTGAATAGTAGGTAAAAAAGCAGAACGAAGCTTGCATTACCCGAAGGAAGTGGAGAGAGCATATTTTGCTGAATTAGGCTGAAAAAAGTTTAAATGGGTGCAAAATAAGGATTTAGATGAAATTAGCATAAAGAACAGCTAAATACACTGACATAGCAGAAAAACTTTAAACTAACATTAATCAGCTGAAAGGAACATAACAAGCTGAAATTAGCAGAAACAAGTTAGAAAAAGCACAAAAATGTTGTGAGCAGAAAGAATTAGAAACAGCTGAAAGAACAGCTGAAATTAACTGAAAATAGCTGATACTTTATTTATTTGTCGAAAGAAGCTGAAGCAGAGCAACACGTGTAAGGAGCAGTTGACGATTGCAAACAGATCTAAAAATTTGAAGGATGTAAAATTAACTCAATTCATTTTCTATAAGAAAAAATGTCAGAAAAGGCTAAATATTTCAAAAAGCTAAAGTTGCCCCAATACCAACAGTCATAGCAGGATTGAGGAAACAGCTGAACATTTTGATTAATGATTTGCTGAAATAGCTTAAAAACTGTGCGACAAGAATCGCACTGAAAAACATACAGAAGAAAAATGGATTCCAATAGAGTGAACGCTTCATAAACATTCACAATATAATGCACTGTAGTCAAAACGCGTTTTATTAAAAGCTTCATTTTGGTTTTCTCTTTTGTTACAATAGTCTGCTGCGGTAGCTTGGTGGTCATTGCCACAGCCTCATAACCTTGAGGCTGCAGGCTTGAGCCCAGGTTGGATCAAGAAAGACATACAAAGTAAAACAATTGTCAAATCTTTCATGCACTTGTGTAGATGGGAGCAGCCAGAATAACAACATTTTTGTATTGGCAATTTCTGACGTTTGTGGGGAAAATAACCAAATCACTGTCATCTCTCTGTTCCAGCTGGCTATGGGGGTCCTACAGGTGGGCTTTGTTGTCATGTACCTGTCCGACACATTGGTTTCAGGCTTCACCACAGCTGCAGCAATTCACATCCTAGTTTCCCAGCTAAAGTTTGTGCTGGGGCTCCAAGTCCCAGGCATCAACGGACCACTTTCACTCATCTACGTAAATACAGATCACTTTCTTTTCCTCTCAGCTTATCACTGACGTCAGCCAAGAAGGTGTTGAACTCTTGCTTTATTTTCCAGACCCTGGAGATCATTTTCAAGCAGATAACATCCAGCAATGTGTGTGACGTGGTGATCGCGCTGGTGATCATGCTGGTGGTATTTGTCGTGAAAGAACTAAACGACAGGTTCAAATCCAAGCTACCTGTGCCTATCCCAATAGAGGTTATCATGGTGAGTAGTATTGCGCAACATTAACCATCATAAACCATTCCATAACACAACGCAGGGTGGAGTTATTTAAGGTGAAAGGCAGATAACAGATTTTGTTTGTCATTTTCTAAGACTGCAAATGTAAGTCAGTAAAGTGACATATGAGCATTTATGGCACATGAAGTTTAGTTTTGATGTGAATACACATGCAGAATTGTTATGAACATCTTAAAGTTAAAATGGTAAAACATGGGTTTTGCCATGTCTGTAAATCTTGTCCCATAATTTTAGCTGTCACATTGTTAAATGTGTCTAATCTGTTTGCCACAGACTGTTATTGCATGTGGAGTTTCTTATGCTTTCGACTTCAAGACGAGATATGGCATCGATGTTGTTGGCTACATTCCAAAGGGGTAAGAAGTGAAAACTCGCGCTGAAGGTCAAGAAACAACTTGTTTTATTCCTACTGCTGAAGGGCAAAAAGCAGGCAATAATGTAAATGTCTGTGGGCGTTTGTGTTAGCAAATTATCTCATGAACTACTAGACAAAATTCAATGGCACGTTCAGAAAGTAATGGATGTACAGAACATCTATAACTGATTAACTTTGGGATTTAACCTACATTAAGATGGCTGCCACATCTATCCACTTATTTTCTTCCACATACCATGATTGAGTTGCAACGGCAGCAGGTCTAGGACTTTACTCCCCTAGGGACACTCCCCAGCTTCTCCTGGGATCTCAAGAAGTGTTTCCTGGTCAAAGAAGATATAAAAACTAACAAGTTCCAAGTCTGCCCTGAGGTCTCCTCTCAGCAGGCTGTGTTTGTGCCGTTTAGCTCAGCTCTTTTAACATCAAAATGAACCGGAACAACACTCTCATTACTTTGGATAAGGACATATTCCTTAAAGTCAACTCCTGCTCCATCCATCTGAGAATTAGCACCTCCAAATCTGAGGCCATGGTCCTCAAAAAGGATGGCTTTCTCTCTTCAGGTCAAGGGTGAGGTTCTGCCTCAAGTGAAGGAGTTCAAGTATCTCAGGGTTTTGTTCACAAGTCAGGGAAGAATGGAGCGTGAGATTGACAGATGGATTGGTGCAGCATCTGCAGTATTGTGGACTCTGTGCCGGTACGTTGTAGTGAAGAGGGACCTGAGCTGTAAGGCAAAGCTCTCTGTTTACTGGTCAGTCTATGTTCCTACCCTCACCTATAGTCATGAACTCTGGGTAGTGACTGAAAAAATGAGATCATGGATACAGGTGGTTGAAATGAGTTTCCTCTGCAGGTTAGCTGGACTCTCCATTAGAGATAGGGTGAAAAGATCAGTTATCAAGAGAGACTCAGAATAGAACTACTGCTCTTCTACATTGAGAGGAGCCAGATGAGGTGGTTCAAGCATCTGGTAAGGATGCTCCCTGGGTGTCTCCCTTGGAAGGTGCTTTGGGCATGTCTGACTGGGAGGAGACCCCGGTGAAGACCCAGGACATGCTGGAGAGACTATGTCTCTCAGTTGACCTGGGAATACCTTGGAATCCTCCCAGAAGGGCTGGAAGAGGTGGCTGTGGAAAGAGATGTCTGGACCTCCCTGTTCAAGCTGCTGCCCCCGAGACCCGACTTTGGAAAAAGTGGAAGATAATGGATGTATGTATGGATGTATATATGGATGAATGTATGGATGTATGTATGGATGTAGGGATGTATGTATGGATGTATGTATGCATGTATGTATGTATGTATGTATGTATGTATGTATGTATGTATGTATG